TGAACAAATCAAAGTGAAAATTAAAAAAAACCCAGAATTTGAATTGTCAAGAAAACTGTTTTAAATGTGCTATTTAAAATAAGTACGTTCTGCTTATACACTTTTGATGGGAGTGTAAATTAGGTCACCATTGTGGAAATCAGTGTGGCAATTTCTCAAAGAGCTAAAAGCAGTACTACCATGCAACCCAGCAATCCTATTGCTGGGTATATAACCAAAGAATATAAATCACTCTATTATAAAGAGACATGCATGCCTATGTTCACTGCTGCACTATTCACAATAGCAAAAACATGGAATCAACCCAAACGCCCATCAATTATAGACTGGATTTTAAAAATGTGGTACCTATACACCATGGAATACTTTGCAGCCATAAAAAATAATGAGATCATGTCTTTTGTGGGAAAATGGCTGGAGCTGGGGGCTATTTTCCTTACCAAACTAATGCAGGAACAGAAAATCAAATACCACATGCTCTCACTTATGAATGAGAGCTAAATGATAAGAATTTATGAACACAAAGAAGGAAACAATAGGGATCTACTTGAGGCTAGAGGGAGGCAGGAAGAAGAGGAGCAGAAAAGATAACTATTGGGTACTGGACTTAATAACTGTGTGATAAAATAATCTGTACAACAAACCCCCATGGCATGTGTTTGCCTGTGTAACAAACCTTCACATGTAATCCCAAACCTAAAATAAAAGTTAAATAAATAAGTAAAATAATTATATTCTGCTTTTAGCATATGTATTTTTTTGGGGGGGGTTTCAGTGTGACGGGAGAATCACAAGGAATCAGGTGTTCAGAGGAATGTATTGAGTAGAGGTGAGGAACTAGGATGTTGAAAAGTAAAAAAAGGAGAGAAGGAGAGGAAGAAAGAGGAAGAAAAAGAGGGAGAGAGAACAGGAATATTGCTTCATTTTAAAAATGGGTATTAATAATGGCCGATCAATATTTTGTGTATTTAAAATGGAAGCATTATACATGGAAAGGAACAACCAGTATGAGCCTTTCTAAAAATATACCAAAAAGTAAAGGGCATCAACATAAAGAAGAATTTACATCAACGAATGGATAAAATAGCCAGTTAACATCAAATGGCAGTAACCCTAAATTTAAATCGACTAAATCCCACAATAAAAAGATACAGTCAAAACCTAATGGTATATCCAAAGATACACAAAGACTCAAAACAAAGGGTTTGAGAAAAATTTACCAATCAAATGGATAGCAAAAATAAATAAATAAACAAAAAGCAGGAGTTGCAATTCTCACATTTGATAAAATAGATTTCAAAGCAACAAAGATACAGTGGTAAAAGGATCAATACAACAATAAGAGATCTTAATACCCAGATACATAAGACCCATAACGAGATTTAGACTCAACGAGACAGAAAATTAATAAGGACATCCAGGACTTCAACTCAGATCTGGAACAAGTAAACTCAATAAATACAGAGTTCTCCAGCGTATGTATTTGTAGGTAGGATGGAAAAACATGGGCTACATGTACAAACACAAATTGATGATCGTAGTTTTCCCCTCCCTGTGTCCATGTGTGTCCACTGTTCAACTCCCACTTATGAGTGAGGACATGTAGTGTTTGGTTTTCTGTTCCTGTGTAAAACTTAAGCAATTTTCTCAGTATCATTTCTCCATCTCTGCTGTAGTCTACATTGTGCAGAACCTGCTGCGAGTCCAAATATTAGTTCACAGATGTGACTGTGAGAATTACAGTTCCCTAAATATGTCCACATCCTCATCTCTGGAACCTGTGAATAAATCACTGCACATGGCAAAGGAGAATGAATTAAGATTGAAGATGAAATTGAGTGATAATCATGTGACCTTAACATGCAGGGGTTATCCTAAGTTGTCCAGGTGTGTCCAGCATCCTTAACAGTAGGACAGGAAGGCAGGGGAGGACAAACCAAAGAGATGACAGCTTAAGATGGAATCAGCCCAATGGTGCTGGCCTTTAAGATGGAGGACAAGACCATAACCTAAGGAATGCAGGAATCCTCTAGAAGCTGAAAAGGGCAAGGAAACAGAGTTTGCTAGATCTTGCAGGAGTACAGCCCAGCTGACACCTTGATTTTAGCCTTGTAAGGCCCATTTCATACATCTGACCTTCAGAACTGTAAGATTTGTGTTGTTTTAAGCCACTAAATTGCATCCGTCTCTTACAGCAGCAAGAGAAAACTAACGCAAGAGAGGTCTTGATTTACAAATATGTACACTTGCAGGTATACACATATACACACATACCCATAAAGGAGAACCCACCAAGAACTAGAAAGTTGTTTGTTGGCAGATGCTTTCTGACATACGGTTTAGTAAGAAAATCTCCTGACATTATGAAACCAGCACTATCACAGGCTAACATAAAGAAATGAAAATTTGCAACAAATATAGCAAAGGCTTTCCCCCATAAGACCTCATATAAATTAATAAAAATAATATCAAGTTAATAAATGGGCAACGAATTTTTGAGATAATTCACAAAATAAAAAACATAAATGGCTAATAAAATATGAAACTCTGTCAGATGAAAGAAAACTATTGCAAAAATAAATAACTGAAGAGATGCCATTTTGTTTATTTTTCTTGGCATGCATTTTTAAGTGGAACTATCCTATGGATATGGAAAAGCAAGCATTGTCAGTCACTGTTGTGGTAGGATAGATAATACAAACTTTCCAAAAACCAATAATGTGTAAAAAAAAAGTCATAAAAATATTCAGTGGCACTTCTGCAATAATAATTTTACCTCTGAGATCATCAAAAATTTAGGAAAAGCATTAATATTTTTCCTAATATTATTTATAACTTGAAAATAACTTTCAATAATAGAACATTACCTTAATATATTGCAGTATATTTAAATGATACAAACTTACATAGTCATTAATAATTAAGCTTATGAAGAGTACTAGAGTCCTAAGAGTATAAGTGATGTATAGCAACTATAAGAGAAGGAAATCTATTGTAAAGTTATTGGTGATGGGATTGGGGTCATTTCTTCTTCTCTATGTAACTGGTTTCCTGAATGGGTTGGTAGAATACAGTCAAAAGGCAATTTTGTTTATTCTCTCACTACCTATTCAAGTACACGTTATGGCTTTGTTCTAGTTCATCCTTTGGATCATATTTCAAGCAGACCTTACAGCTGTCTTAGTCCCTCAGAGATATTAAATATCTAGTCCAGGTCGTTGAAAATTCTCATCCACTGAAAAACTCCTCCTGAGCTTCAGTCTGATTTCAACTTGCAGACTTGCAGAGGGAAATAAACACTGCACTGCTTCCTCCTCTTCTCACTCCACTTCTCTCACTGTTTTATTGTAGGGATGAAGTAGGAGAAACGATGGGAGAAAAGTAGGGAACAAGGGATTAGCATGAAGGGCTCCATCATAATCTGGCAGGGATACTCTCTGGGTTTGACATCTCCCGCATGCTGATGCTTCTTCTTGTGGGGTGTTTTTAGGGGTTCTTCAGAATCCCACCCTGCCTCTCCTATGGGATCCCTACCTGTTTCCTGGATGATCAGCCTCCATGGTTTGCCACTTTGTACCCCTACTTGCCTTCTATAGCCAAAGTACCATCATCCTGAGGTCACGTATCCCTGCCAGGAAGTCCTCTGGGGTGGCTCCAACTCCAGAACAGCATAGGAAACTCTCTCCAGAGGCCTTACCCCCAGACTAAGGGCCCACATACACATCCTGCCCTGCCAACCCTGCCCAGTCCTGTCTCCACACATTATAATCAAAAGCCCCTCTAGACACACCCTCTTGCCTTTTGACTCTTGCAAGTGTGAGTCAGGTGCCAAGCCCCCATGTTTCCCAAAATGTAAGAAATGTTAAACTCCCCAAGTGCTTTCTGAAGCACCCCCTCATTTGGCTTGAGTTGAGATGAGGTGCCTGCTGGGTGGGAAAAGCCATAATCACCCTGGCAGATTTCTCTGGAAGCCCTTCTCCTAAGACCTCACGCTAACGTTTTCCCTTACCTCTCACCCCCTCAGAGCTTCTTGGGCTTTAGACATTCTAGAGAAGGATTACAAGCTCAGGGTCCTAATTCACATGGGTAGTCAAAAGCTCCAGATATCTTGTTCTCTGCATTGGAAACATCACCCTTTGACACCAGGACTACCAGGAAAAGTTTATTTTCCCGGTGTTATTTTACAATGGGAGTAAAGGATGGAAGCAAATGTTAACAAAGGCAAGAAGAGAAACTGTAACATCTATCAAGTATCTATTTTTCATACCTATGGAAGTGCTTATAGTAAGTATTTTTAGACTAGACTAGATTCTTTGACAATTTTGTCTCTAGGAAATGCAGTGTCTTTGGCTCCAGGGAACAAAAATCATCCTCTTAGCATCATAAATTCAGAGGTTAAATTCTACACCTGCATTTATTCTTTGAACTACTAGTATTAAAAGTATAAATTATCTCTTCTATTTTAACACTACCAAATCACCAATAAATTAATGTGTTTTCTTGTGATACGATTAACAAAGCAATTTAGTATCTAAATATGATTTACATTCCCAGAGCACTTTAAATAGTTAAGTAGATAATTGGTATTTAATTTATACGCAATATGTTTTGATTCTTTCTGTAGCTTTTAAATATTAAAATAGTTATAGTTAATGAGTGCTAGTGCAAAATGCTCAACCGTCAGAAAAAAAATTAGAACTTTAAAATGGATTTCTTAATCTTTGCTGACTATAAAATATAAGAACTGCAAGCCCCAAATCAAAATCTAAGTGAAATATCTAAAAATTGGTTTTTCCCCCATTTCTGTGTACTTTTTAGAAAGCTAGTAAGGCTACATAGAAAAGACTCTTAAAACCACAGCTATCATTTCTAAAGAGTTTTTCCTACTGCAAATTCTTAAAAGTTACTCATAAATGTTTATCTTTATTAGATTATATTGGCTCTTTAATTATGGAAACTTGGAATCGATTCTTAAAATACCCATTTTTTCTTTTTTGCAGTTGGTGGGTTTTGTGTATGCCTGTTATGTGATCAGTATTTCCATGGAAGAAGAAGATACATGTAAGTACTGTTATCTCTCTCCCTGTGGGCTCCTTTTCAATGAGACACAGCTTCCAAAACTAATCATTACGTGGCTATGAAATCTTTTATATCTGGAGTCTACAATGATTGAACTCAGCATACTAAAGTCATAGTCAAAAGCTGACAGACTGAACCGCACACAAATAAGGTGACACTACATATTGAAACTCTCAGTTTGTGAGAGCTTGCACAGACCCAGAAGCTCAAGGACTGCTGTCATATCATATCTTAGCAACTTTTCATCAGACACCTAACCATTATGCCAACCAGGCAATCAATGGCTGTTTTATCTATTACCAATTTTACATATGCTGGTGGCAGAATTTTGAAGTCTAAATAACAGTAATGATATCAGGACATAATACACTACATTATTAAAAATTTGTATATATATAAACTATATAAAATGCAGTGAAGAAAACAAAAATTTACAACCTTCCAGGTGAGATGCAAAAGAGAACTACAAGAGGTGCTTAGAAAATGAATGGAATGTCTAAAAGCTAAATCACGCTTTGTCAGAACACCCAAAGAAAAAATATATATTAATATTATGACCTGAAGTTATATGATAGAGCTTTAGCAACATAAGTCAACAAATGGCCTTCACTGAGCACCCGCTAATGTATAAGTCACTTCGTGATACAACTCTATTAGGGACTCATGTAATAGCAAAGAAAATTTTAATTTACTTTTAAAAAATAAATTATTTTAGATAAAGAAATCACACCTTACCAAACCAGAGACTGCACTGCAGTCACTGTTTGAATTTGCACCAAGATGAAGCAAAGTAGCTAGCCATTAAAACTCTCTTCCAGAACACAGTCTCAAAGGGGTCTGATAAATGCTTCCCATCAAACAGATGGGTGGTAGATGATATTTGAATTGTAATTTAGAATCTAATGGGGTCTATCTCAATTTATTTGACTCAGTCTCAGACCCTGAGATTTAACGTATCAGGCGGTGAAAACATGCAGACAAATTGCATCATGTATTTAATGCTTACTCAGGGTTTGTTTTTTTTTTTAATGCTAGATAAGACAAAAAGTTTCTGTCACTTGACAAGTGCAGTTCTAATGGCCACACTTTCACTTTGAGGTTAACTTCAAAAACTCTATGTTTAGGAGTTTTATTAGTAGTTCTACAACCTGAGGAAGTTAATACACAGAAGGATAGCAGCATGTTTCCAACCCACAGCTAAGACAGGCTGCACAGCCAAAACATTTGGTTGAGTGTGAACAATATTAACTAGAATTTCAACCTAAAAGTTATGGGACTTTGAGCTGAGTAAATTGAAAAAAATTAATAAATTGATAAGTACCACCTGAATCTCTCATAAAGTAGATAACTGCTTTTGAGTAGTTATCAAACAACAACAACCAAAAACAGTCCCCTTTCTTTTCCTCCACACTGAACTGGTCAAAGACTGAAAAGACACCAGTGCTCAGTTGCACCTGACTGTGGGAGAAAAGGCAGATTCATCAATAGTCTTCTATTATCTAGTGTAATAAATATATGAAAGTCTTTTCTGTGAGACTTGTGATTTAAGCAAAGCTGGGAAATGCAAAATGGCATGCAAAATAAAAGACTCATCTAAATGGATACTTTTTTTAACCTTCTATTAGCCTTCTTTTCAATGTATATAAATTGTATTGCTCACTGGCAGATATTGTCATTCCATTGACTTTGATGTCCTTAATTAGCTTAAGTTTCTCTATAGAAATCTCTGAATCAGCTATTTCAATGCCCTTCAAACTGGAATTGAAGCAGCTGCTAGGAGACTATTCTATTACTGGTTTAATTCTAGTGTTTGTTATTAGAGCCGTACATTACGTTACCAAGAGACATTTGGATATAGTACTTGTGTTGTCATAAATTCAAATTGACTTCTAGTCAAAACGAGTCTTGGGTGCTCAAAGCAAAGTATATATGAGTATATATGCCCAAGACTAACTTAACATGATAATCTGCTGGAAGAGAGATGACAATGGAAAGCAGTCACAAATGTTTTAGTCTGATAGTTCTCAATTGAGGGTAATTTTATATTTTTTATTGAAAGAATTGGGAATCAAAAGTGCAGAGGTAATTAAATTGTCCCAGAGTCTTCAGAAGGCAGATGTGAGCAAAAAGTAATGTCTGAAACCAATTCCAATGATCTCACACACTAGTAAGTACTATTTGTGCCAACACTTAGCTTTTAGGTGCAATAATGAACTGCCACTTGGATATGACATGACCAACCCTCAGTCAGGAAGACATGTTCTTTGAATTGTTTTTCCAAAACTTATACATAAAATAAGCAAACAATACGGGTAGCTTCCCAATGTGTCTAAGTGCACTTCCAGGAAGCTTATTCTAAAAGAGAACTGCAAATATAATGTCAATTTTTTGGCAGGCAATATATCCTTTATAATTTTGATTCTATTCTAACTAATAAAAATTTCTGCATTTTTCAAAATGCAAAGTTAAGCCTTGTTCTTGGACTGAAAGCTGCCAGCCAGTCTTAAAAATTAATAACAGCTACCACTTCCCTCCTCCGCACTATTAAAGTGGATATATGGGACCAACATTTCAGACAGATATTTCCGAAGGGTAATAAATAATTGAGAAAACATTTATTTCTAGCCACCCATCTTCTTAGTTACCTCTCAGTCTCTTTTATTAACTATTTCTTATCAAGATTATGATTGCAGGTCAAAGACAATGAAATAAAAAGCTCAGAGTGCTAGGTGGGGTCAGGGCTTTCCATCATTCGTTCTAATAAAAAAGCCTAGTTATATCTCTTTGTTCCATTTTTCATTACTTTTATATACATCTATCTATCTATCAATCTCCATGAACACTTTCATAAGACTAGAATCTCTGGAATCATAATGATAAAAATCTGTCAACATCTTGTTTGGGGATCCTTTGCCGAAAATGAACTTGTGGATTTGTTACTACCTTGTTACACTTTCTAGAAAGAATGTTTTTAATTAGAGAAATGTGGAGATAAGGCAAATATGCTGAAAAATAGTATTTTACTTGTATAAATACTGCCAGGCTTTTTCAGAGGGTCAGTTGCTACTCCTTCTAATATTAGGCTGCAAATTGCAACTAGCATGTTTATTTGGGCTCACAAAGGCTAGCCTGGGTTGAATATGTTGAATGATGAGAGAGAGAAGTATATTGAAAACCCTAGCAGTTTTTAAAAAAGGATATAAAACCCTCAGATGTGGGTTCAATATTTTACATTAAAAAGCTCTAAATAGTTATTTATATAAGCATTTGACCCTTGCTGTTATACTTTTGGGGAACTTTTTATTGGAAGGAAGCATAACTACCGGAAAAACATTTCATCGCTCTACTGTCCTTGAAGCTTCCTGCTGGCTAATGTTCATGTATTTACCTGTCTGCCCATGAATTCTTTCTAAGAAAATGAAGTGATATTTCCATAGCAATGGTGTGAGCAGAAATTTTTTAACAATCCTATCTCCACCTAAGAATTTATGAAAGAAGCTAATAGTAGGAAAAAAAAGAGACTAGTTTGAAGATTAATTTATGAATTTCCTTTCCCCACTTATAATGTATGAAAGCCTCAGAGAAGTAAAATGACCACAAAGCCAGACACCAGGGGAAGGAATAAGCAGAGGCCTGGAAGATCTTCAGAGCAGAAAACCAGCTCATTGTTTAGCACCCCTAGCAGTGTATGGGTATTTGAAGGTGAGAGGAGAGGAGAATGTTGTGAGTCAAAAATGGAGAAATGTGCAAGACCTTTCCGGTAAGGGCGATCCTGAAGTCACAGCAAACATTTCAAAGAAGCCACCATGTTTGCCTAATAAGCCATTAAGAATGTATTCATTCTCATAGTGCATAATTCTCTTATTTGATAACTATCTAGTTGGTTGCATGTAACTGTCCTAAAGGCTGATCTTTCTCCATCAGCCTCACCAGAGCTCAGATTTAGTTCCTGAAACATTTCCTTAATTTGCTGAGATGGCTCTGCCAAATAGCTGCACAATGACTAGTTAATCCTCCCAGTAGCACAAATCTATGAGGGCAGAATCTTTGTTTTGTTCCCTACTATAACCCTAAGTTTAGAAAAATGCCTTGCATGTAGAATTCAATAAAGAAATATTTGTTGACCAGGTGTGATGGCTCAAGCCTGTAATCCCAGCACTTTGCAAGGCCATGGCAGGCAAATCTCTTGAGCTCAGGAATTCAAGGGCAGCCTGGGCATCATGATGAGACCCGATCTCTACCAAAAATACAAAAACGTAGCCAGGCATGGTGCTATGCACCTGTGGTCTCAGCTACTCGGGAGGCTGAGGTAGGAGGATCACTTGAGCTCAGGGTGGCCGGTGAGGGTTGGTGGGATGGAGGCTCCAGGTTTCAGTGAGCTGAGATCCTGCCACTGCATTCCAGACTGGATGAGAGAGTAAGACCTTGTCTCAAAAAAAATGAGAAAAATAAATATTTGTTGAGTATATATTGTTAAATAAATTTTCTGGGCCCAACAACTCAGTTTTACAAAGTCATTTTCAAAACCCAAAGGTTCTAAAGTTTGATGAAATGAGACTGCTTTATGTTTTGAATTTAGTGATATGTCCAATGCACTTGCAAATATGTTTGTGAGGTAAGTAGAAGTCCTACATTTTTAATACAATTAGATATAGTTTTAGTAATTTTGAAAGTCAAGAAAAAAGAGATAAAATAAACCTCCACTGTACCACGTCAGAACAAGAGCTTGATTTTGTAAACTCCTGGACAAGACATCCCTGAGAAAACAGGGACTTACTTGAAAGGGATGCCCTCACAGAATAAAGCAGGCATTTAGGAGTAAACTCATCTGCAACATATGGTGAAGGGGACAGAGCTACTGTCAAAGAGTGGGGACTAGTAGGGTGGTAACCTAGGCCACCCCACACATGGGAAGTTCAGGCAGCACAGAACAGGATCCCAGCTACAGTGCTCTGGTTGGGTGACAAGATTCCAGCTCTTAA